AAATATCCGCGCACTCTGATTTTAAGCCCTGACCCAGAACTCTTGACACCCACAGAATCACGCCATACCACGTGTCTTCTGGAGGGTAAGAGTCCAAGTGTGAAGTTGATGTCTCACACAGGTATGGCGTGATGGGTGTCAAGAGTTCTGGGTCAGGGCTTAAAATCAGAGTGCGCGGATATTTTTTATCAGAGCTTTCTCTGGCTGTTACGCCATACTAACGCACCCAAAAGAGGGCAAAACAGCTGTCTGTGGCTACAATTCCGCTATGTTTTGAGTTCTTTCGGTGTCGTGTTGATGTCTTGCAAAGTTAATTTTCACGTAGTACGATCAGAAAGCTCTGCAATATTAAAATATGTCTACATTATTATTTTTGCTGATCAGGTCTTTATGGATCCTACGTTCTTCGGCATATTCGTTTGCGGTCCTTTGCAGTCCTTTGTGGTTAATTTTTGTACATATGAATTATGTTGTGTTTATGCCACTATGGCCCCGCACTGTTAGGATTTTGATTTCAAACTGGCCTCGGAAGCGAAAATTCAGGCAGTTTTTTTAAAAATACAGGCGGGGAAGACCTTTTCTTACCATGGTCACGCGTGGGTCACGCTCTACGTCCTATTTTTATGCTCTGATTAGTCAAAACTTGACAGGTGAGTTCATGCGGAAAAGTTATGCAGCATCTTGGAAGTTGTTTACTTTGACAGCTGAAGCTGACAGAGTTTTGTGTCAACTTGTGATGTTTTTAACTTTCTTTTTCCTCTAGGAAGATCGAAGGAGACTCTGTTCGTTGGGTAAATGAAATACAGCTGCTATCAAGAGTCTTCTGTTATTCATGGCTGGTTTGTTTATTGGGTTTTTGGTTGAGAAATGCGTCGCTTGTCAAAATTCGGTAATCCGATTTCGGATTAGCCTGAAATGCATCCGATTGCTTCGAGTCGTTTTCTCCTCACACGCACACATCACATCGCATCGTCACACACGATTTTCAAGTGGCCTACCGAGAAATATCGTTTGTAAATGTCTGCATGATACAGAACTGCTTTATTTTTTTCGAACGTAATTCATGTTTAACGTTCAAACGATCAACTGCATGCAGTACAACTCTGAACCGGTTGTACTCAATTCTATAATCAAACTCGGTCCCGATCACGTAATGAAATAAACACACACACGGAACACTTAATTCAAAAACACAATGATTTGCTTTAATTGAAAAGAAGCTATTTTGCCCTTAACGAAGAAAAAAAACAAGGAAACAAGAAAGAAAAGCTAACAGAATCATTACACTTGACGGTGAAAATAGCAAGAAGGTCGAATTATAACATTGATCTCAGAAAACTTCGCGTAAACAAAATCACCGGCCGCCGAAACCACAAAGCGGCTCTAAATGAAAAACCTACCGCCTCTCCGCAATGATTCTTCATTCGCAGTTCAATTTAGCATTTCAGTTTCGAAGACAAGGGCAATTTTGCTGTTTAAGATAAAGATTAAGCTTATCGAAATGTTTGAACTACACGAAAGAGTGCCAAGGCTGCGATCCGGTGAATATCAAGCGACAATCCCGCTAAAATTTTTCATAATTATACATTATTATGTGAATGTTTAGACATTCAACCAATCAAAATCATTACCCGGTTTTCGGGTAGTGAGTGACGTCACTGGACCGCATTAACGGCCGGTCGATTCAGACGTTACTGAGGGAGTAATAATGACTCGAAGTAATCGGATGAAATTCAGGCTACTGTACACGGACGTTGTTTTATTTTTCTTTTCGTTCCTACCCCCTTGGACTGGCGGTCAATAAATCCCCTGCGGTTTATATTTTATCACCCGCGCTCGACGGATTTGAAGAGTAAAAAGAGGGTCTGTGAACGGGCTATCTCGAAACCAGAACGTTTTCTCGACTTTACGAAGCCATATCATTCATCTATTAGCCCTATTGCGCCCTTTAACAGACCCAAATGACAGATTTCCCTACGCTTTAATATACTTCAACTAGTAAAATCACTACCCTTTCTTATACAGCTATTTCGAGAAAGGTTGTCGGAAAAAATGTGCACGCGACAATCCCGAAAGGTAATATGGGATATGATCAATACACTGTTCCTGACACTGTAGCTGTCGAACCAACTTTTGTTACTTTCCTTTAGCACTCGCAGACATATGTCCATGGCCTCTCCTGCCATTCTTTGAAATTTCTTTGAAAAACAGTGAACTTAAGACCACCCTCGATACATTTCGGGGTTGTCGCGTGCACTTTATCCTACAACCTTTCTCGAAATAGCTGGATCTAAAGCCTAAAAAAAGTAACCCTTTCCGGCGGAGCACCCGTATAGGCCATGATAGGGAGTACCCCGGGTTTGTTGTTTTTTTTTTTAAAGATACTATTCTTAAACACTCTCTTTATTCCCAGTCCGGAAGCACAAAATATTGGCATTCAGTCCTGGACACATTGAGTGATGCCATAAACAACAAGTTTACTCCTCCACGAGACGATGCCCATTCTCTCCCCTCAGTTATTTCGAATAGTTTTGCGTTTGTCTTTAAAACGCCCATCTTCCATATATATGCTAAGAAGCTATTTTATTAAAAGGCCGGGAATAAAAAATATCTAAAAATTTCAATAATTGAAGTATTTGTTAGTTTCCCTGAAAGCAGAAATACGTATTATCAAGTGAGAATAACGGGACTGAGAGGGTAAGGCCCTGCTGCAGTCAGTTCAGCCGACCCGGCTTTAGAAAATGAGAGTCATTGCACCAAACGTTATTTTAGGCTGAATTAAACGTTGAAGTTGGTAGAATATATAGTCTACTCTCTTACAGCTGAACCAGCATTCTTTCACTACTTTTTAGGTCTCGAACTGGCCACGCTGCCGCTCTATCTAAAGATCTTTAAAAACGTTTTTTGACAGCCGTTTACTTATAATGGAAATAAAAAACATCATTGAACAACGAAGGCAAGATAGACTGCAAAAAAGTCGTTTTTTTTTTTTTCTCAAAATCAGTAAAGAAATCGGTAAAGCGTGGCGTAAGAGTCTTACGCGCGCGAAGCGCGCGAGCCTCACGCCCATAGGGCGTGTGAGGCAAGACAAAAAAACCTTATTTTCAGCGTCTCTCCCCAGTCTCACTCCCCGTTTTCAGCCTCGTTCCAGACCTTTTGTTTGACTGCTCGCGCTTCCTTGAATACGCAAGAATACAGGCTGTTTTGCAGTCTAAAGGCAAGACCGCTTTACCCATAGAAAAAATCGTGATGAAAACGGTCCTTAACACTATCACTTTATCATTTAATCCTCAGAATGCTAGAAATTACGATTCTGAGAATCTGGTTTTCAATTTTTTGTGAACGTATGCATGCCCTAGAGACCCCCTAAATTACAGGAGGCCATGCAACCCGGTCTTTACAATATGTAACATGCCATCATTAAAAATTTTGGGAAGTAATACAGCAAATGAAGTCATTACACATAATTTCAATAACCTTCACTGACCAAATTTTGAAAAGCAATAGTAAAAAAGAAAAGAGAAAACTTGGAGTTAAATTGATCCCCGGTCGCAAACTAAATGACGTTGAATAAACTGAACAAAGATTACAATAATAAGTTTGCTCTCAACATTTCTTGTTCATTCGGAGATATCATTCATTGTGCTTTGACATTTTTATTCTTATTTAAAGATGATATTGCAAAAATGTATTATAAAAAATTATTAGTTGCAACTTTATTTTTAGCAAAATTCGCAAAGCCAAGAGACGAAAATATCCAAACTTGAATTGTGAATTCTTTAATGTAACTTTTATCCACAGAATTCTTTTAACTTTTTTCGTTTGCATGATCACAAAAAAATCGCAAATTTTGGATATCTGGTATGATATGTAATCGATTTTATAAATAACCTATTGAATAGGAAACTCTTATTATAATTGCTTACTGCTACGAAGGTCAGTTTCATCGTACATCCTAAACCGTTTCATAATCAATATTTATACTTGTCTTCTCTCAACAGTCTATTTCATACGTATGTCCTACTTCATAAGTACATAATTATCAGTGGCAGTTCCAGGGGGAGGATCCGAGTCCCCCCCACCCAAGCCTATCAAGCCTAAAGCTTGTTTGCGCGTATATCACTTTTTGACTGGCTGACTTTTTAATGAAACGAGCGTTGCATTTTGCCACTAAACTTAATTCCAGGGACATTCAAAAATGTATTAATATTGTTGTTAGGTACCCTCCTATGATCCGTCTGTTCGGCGTTCACAGATTGAGAAACACGTAGTCGTCGTGTCTGCTTTCTCACCTTTAATTACACAGGAAAGTTTAGTTACAAATATCTAATGGCTTTTACTAAACTACTGTCATAAGAAACTCAATAACAAATGACTTCTAGACTCACGTATTTAATTGTATATTCCACTGCTTGTAATAAGCGCCACGCCTACACGCCTCTTCAGTTAATATTTTGTACCTTGTGTGTATGACCTTCTTCCTCCGCAGAAGAAAGTAAGGTTTGAATAAATGTAAAAAAGATATTTATAAGTAACGTATTACATATGTAAAAAAACTACTTCTTTTTTGTGAAACTAGTTTTTAAGTCAAATTCTCAGAGGTCTTTCAGTCCGAAAAAAATACGGATGTAACGGCCATCATAAAGAACTGAGCAAGCATAGGATAGAGAACTGACGTCTTAGCGATCTTCTCCCAGACCTCATGAACGTTTTTTGAACAAGGCTAATCCATAACAAGCATTTGCTATTATCCACGTTGGTAAATGAAAAAAATACAATATACAGCTGTATGGCTTTTGGACATCATTACTAAATTTTTAAAGAGGAGATCTCGCTATACCTAAAAACTTGTTGGTTTTTAATCTGAGTAATTTTCTTCTACTATTAAATACTTCTGTAAACTACAATGTCACAATAAACGATAAGACACGACTTCGAGCAGTGAAAAAATTACCAATTCAATTCTATTGCGAAAGTTTTCACAGAATACTTGATAGACATTACACAGCCCTTGATAATTCATCGATTATCTCCTGCATAGTTGGTCTCGCTTCAGGGTCTGTCTGCAGGCATCGCCGTACCAGGCCTCTCAACACGCGGCTCGTCATCAGCAAAACTTGCTCTTCGCGATTTTCAGGATTTGGAAGTTCTCGGATGCACATTTCGCACAATAGAACACCAAAGCTATGAACATCGAGCTAAAGGAAAATAAGAAAAAAGTAAACACTTCCAACACGTTTTAAATTAAAATATTAACTGATGTTGCTACAAAGGTTCTCATATTCAGTCATTCTCTTGGCGAAAATGAGATAAGATCAATTCAATAGTTTATCAGCTTTGATACACCTTTGATACCGCATTTTTCCATATTGACGCTCAAATAAGATTACGTCAGAAGAACCCCAAAAATGTAAAAGGACTACCTAGCTCAGTTACATACTGCATATACAGTCAACTCTCGCCTTGCGGACACCCCGCTATAACAGACACCCCGATAATACGGACAGCAGCTAAATCCCCAGCAAAAACAAATTACAGATGTTTGACTGAAATCAACTCCCGCTATTACGGACACTCGCTAATGAGGACACTAACTCTAGGTCCCCACAGTGTCCGCTATAAAGGGAGTTGACTGCTCTACATCAGCAGAACACTGAGCCTGCGTTGTAACCGGCCCAGACATCTTCTAAACCACCGGTATACTGAGGCCGTCTGCGAATAAAAGCACAAAAGCTCGCTCTGATATCCAGCAGAGTCGTAAGCATATATGTGAGCGTTTCTGATAGGCGGGTTTCTTACGCGCCTCATGATTGGCCCAATTCTTACGTTTGTGAGACGGTTAAATGCTGGTTCCCGACAATCTTTGATTTTCCATCCAGTGTCTTCTAATCGCTGCTGGCGAAACTACAGGAACTAAGGACATCACGCTTCAGTAGAAAGACTCACTTATCTTAAGAAAAACAAAATGGACCGAATCAGACACATTCAACCCATCCTTGTGTCGTTTGTCGCCATTTCATTTGCCTTAAGTCAAGGCCATGTCACTTGTCGGACCTTTACCCAATAGGGCCTCTCTGTAGTTAAACCTAACATTAAGGTCACTTTCACACTATCGTCACGAGCTATGAATGGTGTTTGACAGGCCAAACACCATTCATTCACTCACTTTTTAACAAATTGCGGAATAAATCACAAACTGCGTAAGAAAAAATTAATGATAAACACCTACATATATCTTTGAGGCTCTGCGGGATTGAAGCATGATATTGTGCACTAATTTTTGCCAGCAGTTTAGAGTATCTGCAACGCAGGCTACAGCAAAAAGGTTACACACAGTAGTCACAGTCACACACTCTATCTGTGATACAGTTGTTAAAAACTGGGCCCTGAAATCGATGATGACGACCAACCTTGACTGTTTGGTTTGATGTATGTGCCTCAGGCGCGCAGTAAATGGCAGCTCCAGGAGCCACTGTCATGGTCTGCTGTATGAAATTAGCAGTGCCATAATCTGAAACTTTGCCTCTCCATAGGTCACCCTGTCGCCATAGCAGCACATTAGCACTGCTGACATCCCGATGAATGATTGGTGATGGTTTCTTCTGATGAAGGTAGTTCAGGGCGCGAGCTACATCCAGAGAAATGACGCGTACTTCTGTTTCGGAAAGTTGCTGCTGTTCCAACAAAGCTCGCAGACTCATCTCCATAAGCTCAGTCACAAATAGCGGACTTCCCTCGTCATTTGTGGCGCCGATAAACTGTAGCAGACAGGGATGGCGGCAAGCTGAAGCAATATTCATTTCTCTTTCAAATAAAAGCCTGTTGTGAGGAGACAGAATCAGGGCATGGATTTGCTTCACTGCTACAGTACAGCCACAGTAGGTACCTTCATTGACGCTTCCCCAGCCCCCAATCCCTAGGCAATTATCTGTCATTAGAATTTCATCACGGGAAATGACCCAGTCACACGTTTCCTGTCGTCGCTTTTCTCTTATTCTACGCTGAGCCAACGAGAGACTTAACTCTAGTTCATTTATTTCTTGGTCTTTTTCTCTCAGCTGTCTTTCTAAGTAGGAAACTTGCTCTTGGGAATTTTCGCGTTGTTGCATCTCCGTCAACTGCCTTTGTAAATTTTCCTCACGTTGCTGCACTTCTCTTAACAGCCTTTGTGAGTTTACTCCACTTTGCTGCATCTCCCTCAACTGCCATTGTAAATGTTCTTCGCGTTGTTGCATCTCCCTTTGTGAGTTTTCTTCACTTTGCTGCATCTCCCTCAACTGCCTCTGTAAATTTTCTTCGCGTTGTTGCATCTCCCTTTGTGAGTTTTCTTCACTTTGCTGCATCTCCCTCAACTGCCTTTGTAAATTTTCTTCGCGTTGTTGCATCTCCCTTTGTGAGTTTTCTTCACTCTGCTGCATCTCCCTCAACTGCCTTTGTAAATTTTCTTCGCGTTGTTGCATCTCCCTTTGTGAGTTTTCTTCACTTTGCTGCATCTCCCTCAACTGCCTTTGTAAATTTTCTTCGCGTTGTTGCATCTCCCTTTGTGAGTTTTCTTCACTTTGCTGCATCTCCCTCAACTGCCTTTGTAAATTTTCTTCCCGTTGTTGCATCTCCCTTTGTGAGTTTTCTTCACTTTGCTGCATCTCCCTCAACTGCCTTTGTAAATTTTCTTCGCGTTGTTGCATCCGCCTTTGAGTGTTTTGTTCACGTTGCTCCACTTCCCTTAACTGCCTTTGGGCATTTTCTTCCCGTTGTTGCGTCTCTCTCAACTGCCTTCGTGATTCTTCTTCACGTTCCTGCATTTCCCTTAACCGCCTTTGTAACACTTCTTCACGTTCCTGTATCTCCCTAAATTCCCTCTGTAACTTTTCATTACCCTGCTGTATCTCTCTTGAAGTCGTTGGTAAGTCTTGCCTCGTGAATTTTAATGCTGGTAATGAAGCTTGTACGTTTGCTTCGCGTAAGTCGTACCCTGTAAAGGTTCAGCCAAAAACACAATGAATCATTCAATTATACGAGAGGAGTGCCTTGCAATCAAAAGTATAGAAAACAATTAGTACAGAAAACTCTAAAATAGTTTTGACTGGGAGAGCGTAAGGATTGCTGTGAAGATTCAGAAAACTACAAAAGGATAACAACAGAAAACAAAACAAGCAAGACGTTCAAATTGAGCGCGAACTCGGGCTAGTCATAACAGTGGGGATTTCGAGGCGACAAATTGGAACAAACTTGAAAAATGCATAACAACCCCGGCTGTTATCCTGACTTTAGCCTATGACCAAGACTTTTTGTTCGGATCAAGCGGTGAACCTTAACCCCCTCCTCCGCGTCCTTTTTCTTGCCTTTTCGCCTCTCTGTGCCCTATCCAAGCTCTGGAGATTAATTTGTCCAACATTACGTTTTGTGTATACGATAAATTTAAGGCTTCTTACGCAATTGCTTAATTACGTTGGAGACTACGAGGACCATTCTTCATTTGATTTCATTTCCACAGTTCTTATATGATTTATTTCGTATACATCTATCACATTGATCTCTTTCGCGGCAACATATGAACACATAACTGACCAGCTCCCAACATCAGTGTTTTCATAGCTCATGCGGTTGGTTAGCTCTTCGCACCGGTATCGCCAGGTCGCGGGTTCAAACCCCGTTGAAATCCTATTTTTTTTTTCTCAAACTTCTGAGACAATAGCGTAAATTGCGTTCAGAACTGCGAGGATCATTCTTCATTTGATTGCATTTTGTACTTGATAAATACGCGGTGTTTGAAAATTTAAACAATAGAAATATTCTACTTTTCAAGCAAATGTACAGATGCTCTCTCGCCTCTAATGCTAACTCTACCCACACTGTTGAAAAATAAATACTTATTTAAAAAGGGTTTTAAAAGCAAAATTTCGTTTAAGCAAAACTAAAGGATTTCAAGGTCGGTACACACTAGGCGACAAGTTGCTGCAACACGTCGCGGCAAAAGATCACTCCGTGTGCACAGGTCGGGCGACTAGTTGCAGGAACAAGGTGAGGCGACACGTCGCAGCGCCAAATCGCTTCGTGTGTACTGAAGAATTTTTGTGAAAATCTTTGTCGCTGCAGCAGAATTTGTCGCCGCAACAAGTCGCACAGATTCAGTCTGATTTGATTTTTTGCGACTTGTTGCAGCGACAAAATTCTGTTGCGGAGACAAAGATTTTCACAAAAATTCTCCAGTACACACGAAGCGATTTGTCCCTGCAACGTGTCGCCTAGTGTGTACCGACCTTAAGTGACTCCAGCAACATATTTTGAAGAACGGAAAGATATTTGATTTGATTTTGGCAGGTTTAATGTGTATTCACCAATCGGTTGTGCTAGCAAAGAAAACGACAGGTTTGCTAATAATTCTATACTTAAAGTCACCCCTTACTTCCGTTCACAAACGCGACCAAAGCAGGGCGACGAAGACCTTTCACACTTCATACAAATATCCAGTGAGTGACCTCTATTACGAGGACCCCCAATTAAGCTGACGCTAAGCTGGGTCCCGAAGTAAGCGTCTTATATTTCCTTTTACAAGGAACCCCTATTCAGCGGACATCTCTATTTAGCGGACGCGGACACTAAAATCAATCGTATTTGGCTAATTTCTATTGTTAAAAGCCTCTATTAAACGGACACCAGACTGAATTTAAAATAGTAGTATTGACTACTACGTCGTACGGATTACGTCCTTGAAATACGCATTGTAGTCGGTTAATGTTTTTGCATTTACGAACAAATTAAAGTTGGTAATGAAAGGTAATGAACTTGGACTCTGGATAGCTTACATAACAACAAGGAACCTTATATATCACACCGTAATTTTTAGGGAGTTATTAGGGAGTTATTATAACTCCAAAAATGGAGTAAAAATTTTAGGTACAGGATAACCCTTTTTTGGGGGTTACTTATTAACTCCTAATTTAACTCCGAATCTGGGGTCATTTTTACTCCTGGAAAAGAGTTCTTTCTACTCCCAGTCTAGAGTTAAAATAACTCCGAAATGGGGTTATTTTTATTCCTTACATGGGTTGTTTTTACTCTTTTTGGAGTTAATTTAACTCTGAAAGTGGAGTAAAACTTTTAGGTACAGGATAACTCCTTTTTGGGGTTATTTTAACTCCTCAATATCTGGGGTCACTTTTACTCCTGAAAAAGAGTTCTTTAAAATCCTTTTTGGAGTTATAATGTCTCCCCCAAAAATAACTCCACTGTAAGGAGTTAAATTAGCCCCACTAGAGGAGTTATTATAACTCTTTAAAAATTACTGTGCACAGGACAGAGTAACCCAGTGAATGTAAATTGTTAACAAACATTGCGCAATTTCCACAAACCTTTATTACGCGAACACCCTCTATTAAGCGGACTCTTGGGAAGGTCCCAAAGGTGTCCACTTAATAGAGGTTCCACTGTACCGTAGAATCCACAGTACATTGCTCATATTGTGCAAATTTGGTAAGCACTGGTTGGCTTTGAAGAATTAGGTGCCTGGGGGCTTTGAACCAATCAGAAAAGGCGAAATATTTTGAATGAATCAGTAGATAAATATACTTAAATTTACATTTGCGACACTCAGTTTACTGTCTTGATGAATTGCTAACGTGTAAAAATATCTTATTAAAATGATTTTAAAGTCATGCGATAATTCTCTTCTATTACCTATACTCGCTCGGGACCGTACTAGGAAAATATAGGCCCTTTGCCACTTTTGTACGAGCTAAGCTGCGCACCGCGCATCGGTTTGCACTTTCAATTAAGCCCTACTGAGGCCGATATTCTCCCAGGACGGTTCTGGCGTTTGGTTAATAAGACGTATATCTTGTTCAAATAATATGATATTCAACTCAAATCGTTTGGAGCCCCCAAAAATCAAACAGGCAACAATTGATGGCTTCCTGAATTGCATTTTGGGCATGACTATTGTTTGTTTCTAAATATAAGACATGGAAATTAATTAATTTAAGGCGACAAAGTAGGAAATCCTTGAAGTAAAATTTGCAGCGTGATGAGGATTCAAACCAACAAACCGTTTTTACAAAAAGAGTATGGAGTTTTTTTAAAACTTATCCTACCTGAAAGTCTACCAGGATCATAATCCATTGACCTTGGCCTCAATAGTCCAGCTGGTGATGTTGTATCTTTCTCAGGATCTTGATCAAAGTCTTTCTCTAGTATAACAGTTTCTATATCAACAAATGTAGCAAAATTTCTCCTACACACAAAGAATTGCCTTCCTTTCAATTTGCCTGTTCCGCTTCCACACCTCTCATCCTAATAAAATTAAAGCACAGCGAAAAAAGCACAACCACAAATATTAGCCTCCACTTAACACCAAATCAGTGGTGACTTCATTCGTATAAAATTGTGATTTTATAAAAATTAACTACAATTAGATTTATTGCAATAAAACAAGCAACAAACAAGGACGCCAGAGGTTATTAGACGGCTCGGGTTACAGGGACTGCAGTTCTATCCCAATTGCTTTTGTTAGCCGCCGAATGTTTCCAGGGATTTTTACTCTGGGAACGAGAACGTAGCTATTTTCTGTTGAAACTATGGAGTCAAGCGTTTGGTATCTCAAATAGCAATGAATGATTTTCCACTAATTGGAAGACTCACGTTAAACGCGGAGGATTCTGGAATCGCCAGGGGGCAAACATTGCGATTCACTACAAAGATAGAACTGAAGTCCCCGGAACGAGAGGAAAAGATAACTCGCCAAACTTCGTAAAAGACGTGACGTAATTTTAACTCACGTTCTCGAGAGGGAACCTGAGGGTGAAGGCGACAGCTACAAAGTCGTCACGTAAAAGTGTTTCAGTTCGCGCTGCTTCAAACTTGATCGCGCTTATTTCATCTCGTTCAGTTTGTCTAAACACTCTATCGAAGTTCAGGAAAAAAAAAAAAAGAAAGTCGCTGCATTGGGTTTTCGCCCTCCACAATAGGCCACTTTCATGTCGTAGTCGTGCAGTGATGGCAAAAAAATACAAAACAGCATGATGCACGTGCAAAGTTGCCTACTATTCGCGACAATCCCTTTCACGCTCGTTGAATAAGAGACGGAGAAATGGAACAGTGCTTGAGTGAGTTGGAGGTGGAAAGGACAAAGAAGGGTGGGAGGGAAAAGAGAGGGGCGGCCGCATAAGGAGGCAAACGTGAAAGGGAGAGACAAACAATTTACGGCTGCCAACAGCCAAAGGATTCTTACGTGAATTGGGCAGAAATGAGATGCGGAGCTCTTATTTATACTCGCGTTGCAAGGGACTGGCGCGAATAGTTGTTGAACCTATTGCTTTTTTTGGGCCGCAGCGAGATTTCCAAATATAGTACTAGAAAAACTGAATGTTCAAAAGCATTGAATGCGAGTTAAACGTTTCAACCCCTTATAAGTTTATGGTGTAACTTGACCTGCAGTTTATTTGGGGAGGGAGGTGGACTGATAGAAGAGGGTGACAGAGCCGGAAGCATAATGCGTCGGAATCAAATAAACTTACTGATGAAGAAGTGCATGGAGCTAAGCAGAAATTCACCACTTTAACAATTACTCAGAGCACCGATTTTGAACTGTGGAGAATCTGTGCTGTAATATTTCAATTTCCTAAATGTCTTTATCATGTAAGTCTTTCTGTAATGTACAAGCACTAGGTTACATTTATAGGCTTCCATGTATCCATTACAAAGCGGAAACAGTGCGTTAAAAAAGGCTACCAGAAAAATAGTCACTCGCCACCGATTCTTCTGCTACTTTTATACTATTTAATTTTTTTTGCAACCTTTGTAGGATAAGGTAGGGTAAAGTTATAAAAAATATCACCGAGACCTAAGTAGTTGCACACGTCTTGCCTGGCAGTAGATCCAGGCCTCAAATTTCCAACGTCGATATTCTTCCAAGCTTCCTTTAAAAGCTAGTAACGCAAACACGTTTTAACAAAAAAAATCGACAACATTCGAAGATTTCGTCCCCCTATTTCACCATAGAACACCACTCATCTGCAATGGGGACTAGAAATTTCCGCGTGTTTAAAATAAACTTGCTATCCTGGGACAATTAAAAAAGCAATATTATAACCGGCTATGAAAAAGTACAACATCTTCTAGACATAAGCTAGACATAGGCTATGTTCACAATATACCAGATTGCTTGGCTATGTTGACACTATACAGGTTAGCTTTTCGTGCCGACACGAAAGCTAACCGGGTATAGTATGAACACCTATCCAATACCTATACTCCATACTACAACTATACTCTCCACTTCAGAGATCGGCGAGGCGCATATATAGTTGTATTATATTGTTTGTGAAAGATTTGTGAGTTGAAACTGTTCTACGATCATCTGGAAATGAATTCCATAACCTGGCTGCTACATACATCACACAGCATACATCACCTTTATTTTTCCTCACATTTACAGTGTATTTCTTAAAGCTAATGTCTCCGAGATAAAAGAAAAAGATATTAAATTAAAGTAATCATTATCCTAAAAAAATATGTATAAAGGAAATATAGCACTATACGAAAAGAATTTAACTACCTATTACTTGTATTATTTTATTTGTTCAAACGAAATTTGTCGCAATTTTAATTTGAACTCCCTAAGTCATGTCGTAGACCTCAGGGCCTCAGGGAGTCAATTCCACAGTGTTGTAGATGCGTACCTAAATGCCTGTAAGCCGTGAGTTGTTGTTTTAACGCCGGGAACAGTAAGTTTGATTGTTCCTCGCAGATCGTGTGCCGTAGCTCTTGCTTGATACAATCCACCTAGATATCTTGGCATCGCGTCACGATGAACAGTGTTGAAAGCTTTGATTAACATATCTTGGCACCTTGTCCTATTTAAATTGCTACAATTAATCTAATGTAAGAGGCCCTAGTAGTCCAGAGACTTCTCGTTAAGAACTGTCTTAAGCGCCCTTTTTTTAAGTTTCTCTAGTTTTTCTCGATTTCGAGCCACACAAAAGTGCCAAACCGCCGAACAGTATCTAAAGAATGGTACTATAAAAGCCTTGTAGATTTTACATTTAACTGCCGGTGGTACTATTTTTCGAACCGGGATATTACATTAATCTAATTATTAACCTTAGTACAAATATTCTTCCAATGGCTGTTAAACTGCGGATTCCTATGAATGTTTACTTCTAGGAGATCAATGCAGGAATTTTAATGCTCTTGGCATGAAAACTAAAAGCGTGACTAGCATTTCCCAACACCATTGCTTGATATTTGTATGGGTTTGATATCATACCATTCATACCAAACCAGTGGTCAGTGATCTTTATCCGAATCATAAATCTGTTCATCGTCAGCGTAAGCATTACAAGTTACTCCGTCCTCAAAGTAGAAAAGATCATTCATAAAAACATTGAGACTGACCTCAGAGGAACCCCTTTTTAACTGCCATCCAAGTAGAAACATTGTCGCCAACTTTTACTCTTTGTGACCTTCCAGTTCGATAATTCCGCATCAGTGAAATGCCAGGTTCGGTTACTAAGTGTGCCTTCAGCGTAGCCAGTAGCAAACCATGAGGTACATAATCGAATGCTTTGGACAGATCCAGCCATACAACAGCAACAACTTCCTTAAAAGGGACTTTAAGATCTGGAACGCGACGACTTCTAGAACGCGGTGGCTAATTAAGGACTGGAACTAGAACGCCGTCGTTTGCGCGCGAAAAGTAAAGTTAAGATCTCCGCCGCGATGCAAGACGACGTGGCTGCAAACCGCTCTTTATCAGTGTGATTCTTCGGCAATTCTTTCGCCGAAATAGCCATGGCATCATTTAAGAAAGTCCAAGAAATGCTTTGTTTGTGCTTTGTTCGATAGCATCTGTCACCTCCACTTCTTCGTTGACGCTTCGGTTTGTCATCGCTTTCATCCGCTCATGAACCTCTTTTCTTCGTCTCTGACAGCTTCTCCATCACTTTTAGTCTAACATCTTCCGCTTTAGCCCGATCGTATTGACGTTTTTTGCTAGCTGTTCCCTGTGTTTTCTGTAATTCCGCTTCGCCACTTTACTCCAACGCGATGATCACATCCAATAGGTTTTCTAGTTCCGTTGGCTCATCGGGAGTTATCCCAGTTGCTTTTCCCTCCGTTAGAAGTTTCTTCTTATGCTTGTAAACAAGGATTCCCACGTGGTCTCGGACTGATCGCTTATCAACCCTGAATTTCGGCACAGTGCATTTTTTCCCACATACTGCTTCTTTGTGTTGACCCTTTCTTAATTGTGTAGGGATTTACATTGACGACTTCTCTGCACAGAATGGCTTCATGATCATATAATGTGTCCAAAACATAACTGAACTAAAGGGAAGCATAAAAACACACGCAGTTTAATAAAATTAAATTAAATACTACAGGCTTAAAATTGGCCTTTAGCGGCAGATGAACGCAATAAATCAAGAATTGCAACGGTACAAGAGACGAGAAGAGTATCCAGAAGACTCCTGCATTCACTATTTGCAGTTTTAGCTCGTGACTTACTTGCAAGCCTTGCTCGAAGTTGAGTCGAAGGCGCTGCCATTTTATAAGCTTCGTACACCTGAAAGAAATTTTAAAATAATCAAAATCCTTTCGTCTCTGCGATCTAAAAGGTCGCCAGAAATTACGTCCAATGATCGTAGAGTGCTGATTGTACATATTTAGAGGAATATATCATCATTTAATTTAAGCACAGGAACAAATATACTCACGTTTTGTACAGAAGGTCAAACTCGCAAAACCCACGTTCTCGACGCGACGTGGTGACACCAGGACGACGGCGTGAGCATGCGCAACATGTCTCCTCTTTGAAAATTTACTTCCGGTCGCGTCTTACAGCCGTCGCGTCTCGGATCTTAAAGACCCTAATATCTAGGCTAGCCCTCCAATCCTCTATTAAACGTAGCAGCGTGGTCTCAGAGCTATAATTCTTTCGATATGCAGATATAAAGTCATACAATATATCTGATACCCCGATAATTGATTTGACAAGATTATTCACAGATGTTGTTTAAGAATGGTAATGCAGTCACCGGCCGATAATTCATCATCCCCTTCTTTGAAAAGAGGTGTTACCTGGCCCATATTCCACCTAACCGGATAATACCACGAGATAATAGTGAAGTTGATTATTCTTGACACTGGAAGTGTTATAACGGGAGCAGATATTTTATGTAGCCTCGGATGTAACATATGTCCACATGGAAGATAGTAGCTTTTCCACCTAAGAGGAGTTTACCGGCTCAAATCTAAAAGTTTCTTTCTTTCTGTCTCCATTCTGTAGTGCTTTATGATCCATTTTTATAGCTGTTTCACCAGCATCTCCCAAAATGTTAACGAAATAGCCATTAAAGAGCTCTGCAAGAACTTTCTTCTCGTTGATAAAGGTATCATCTTCTTTAAGGATAATGTCGTTTGTTTGGTGAGCGCTCCTAGAGTGAAGAAATGGACGATCCGTTCTCCAAAAATCTGCCGGGTTCTGGAATCGTCCCGATCTACCTGTTTATCGCTTTCCGTCGAAGTGATGTACATTTATTTCTCTGGGCCTTATACAAGTCATAATTTGTATCAGTTCTCTCTCTTTCAAAACCTCGCCAGAGGCAATTTCTTTGGCGTATGGCAGCGCACCATTGATTGTTCATGTAGGAAACTTGATTACCGCGTACATGAGCATACTTCAGAGGCGAGTGATCATCGAGAATGTCATTGTATAGCGATTCAAATACATACAACATGTCATCGGGATCATAAAAAATTTCCATAATATGAAAAGGAACTGCGCCGAGATACTCCAAGAATTTATCACGATCAAAGTTTTTAAAGCTGCGAAAATAGATTTTTCTTGATCTAAGTCGGGGCAACGTGATTCGTAGTTGGTGTAGTTAGTGTAGTTGGTGTAGTATATGTAGTCGGTGTAGTATCTGTGGTTGGTGTAGTTAGTGTAGTTGGTGTAGTATATGTAGTTGGTGTAGTATGTGTAGTTGGTGTAGTTAGTGTAGTTGGTGTAGTATATGTAGTTGGTGTAGTTGGTGTAGTTGGTGTAGTATATGTAGTTGGTGTAGTTAGTGTAGTTGGTGTAGTTAGTGTAGTTGGTGTAGTTGGTGTAGTATATGCAGTTGGTGTAGTATGTGTAGTTGGTGTACTATATGTAGGTGATGTAGTATGTGTAGTTGGTGTAGTTACTGTTGTTGGTGTAGTATATGTAGTTGGTGTAGTATGTGTAGTTGGTGTAGTATATGTAGTTGGTGTAGTATGTGTAGTTGGTGTAGTTAGTGTAGTTGGGAAGTTAGTGTAGTTGGTGTAGTATATGTAGTTGGTGTAGTATGTGTAGTTGGTGAAGTTAATGTAGTTGGTTTAGTATATGTAGTTGGTGTAGTTACTGTAGTTCGTGAAGTATATGTAAGTTGGTGTAGTATGTGTAGTTGGTGTAGTGTATGTAGTTGGTGTAGTATGTGTAGTTGGTGTAGTAAATGTAGCTGGTGTAGTATGTGTAGTTGGTGTAGTTACTGTAGTTGGTGTAGTATGTGTAGTTGGTGTAGTTATACTGTAGTTGGTGTAGTATGTGTAGTTGGTGTAGTATATGTAGTTGGTGTAGTATATGTCACCGTAAAAAAAATGAAGTTGGGTGAAGTCGAACTCAGAAGCTCATCCCTCGACCGTTTTCCTTTTTACTATACGTCCATTTTTATGATTTTACAGCCGCTGGGATCTGGGTATCATGAAATAAAAGTTAATAAATTACCTGACTGAGACTGAGCATGAAGCGATGAGACAAAGGCAGCGAACTGAGGATCACTGAAAGGTTATCTTTGCGAGTGTTTTTATTTGTCGTCATACATTCCACATGTAAGCACGCACTTCGAAAAGAGTCGATGATTAAGCGTTCTGTGGACGATTTGGAACTTTTCGATGATCAGCGCCGAAAAAGTGCCAGGATCAGGATTTGATTTTTGTCATCACCGTGGAGTGGATTTCGCCAGTTAAGCACCGCGTGCAAAAGCGATGACCTAAGTAGCAACTAACGAGGAATGCTTTATTTCCGAAATTTGAGAAATTGCAGTCTTCCTCTACAACTGACTCGCATCACCATGAGAGTTGCCTGATAAAACTGGCACTTGAGAAGTTGAACAGAAGAGAACAGTTGCTCGACCGTGAAGCTAACTCAAAAGTAATTCGCTAAAGCCGAGGAAATTGTGACATCGCGATCCAGTCCAAAGACCCACTTATCCCAAGAAAAACAAAATGGATTGTATCTGCGACAAAAGAATTATGACTGACTAACAGCACAATTCTCAGCAGTTAATGTAGAAAGTTAGGCTCAATTCTTTCCTTCGAATTCGCATGTGTAGATCACTTTTTCGTGAGAAAACAATGGCTGGGCTCGGCGTTACAAAACATAGCAGGGAATCATCACACTAGCTTACGGACAAAACAACCACAAGGACTACAAGTATTTTTTCCGATAAACGGATTTCGGGAAAAAAAAAAACTTGAAAAACTAGTAATTTGATTAACATTGAGTCATTTAGTCGAAATAAAAACCTCAACGCTTAAAAAAAATGGCTAAAGAAAACGAATCCTGTCAGAACTACAGACTGCAGGTAGTAGTTAATCATTATGCATGTAACAGACCAGCTTCATGGCCTCTTAATGTGAGACAAGAAACCACAATTATGATTAACACAGTCAGAGTTTAAAACTCTCCACAGTGTAATCTACCGGCTAGAAAGAAAAGAAAGAAAATCTCTGAGGGATGAAAACGCTAAAGTCACGTTTCACTAGCTTATGATTGTGTTTGGCCTGTCAACACCGAATTTCCTGTTGTTTAATGAAGTACAATAGCAGCGTCATTTCGTCGTTGTGATTGGCTATTCCCACCGTCGGCGCGCGAAGTCTCCCCTGGGAACCGTTCTAATTATAAATCTACTCGGGAAAGGGTTGGCTCCGAAGGTTTGTATGGGAGATAGGGGCTCCATTTGATGGGCTCCTGGTGTAGTATATGTAGTTCGTGTAGTTAGTGTAGTTGCTTTAGTATGTGTAGTTGGTGTAGTTTGTGTAGTTGGTTTAGTTAGTGTAGTTGGTGTAGTATATGTACTCGGTGTAGTATGTGTAGTTGGTGTAGTTGGTGTAGTATATGTAGTTGGCGCAGTTAGTGTAGTTGGTTTAGTATATGTAATGGCGTAGTATGTGTAGTTGGTGTAGTTTGTGTAGTTGGTGTAGTTACTGTAGTTGGTGTAGTATATAAAGTTGGTGTAGTATGTGTAGTTGGTGTAGTTTGTGTAGTTGGTGTAGTTACTGTAGTTGGTGTAGTATATGAAGTTGGTGTAGTATGTGTAGTTGGTGTAGTTTGTGTAGTTGGTGTAGTTAGTGTAGTTGGTGTAGTTACTGTAGTTGGTGTAGTATACGTAGTTGGTGTAGTATGTGTTGTTGCTGTACTATATGTAGTTGGTGTAGTATGTGTAGTTGGTGTAGTTGGGGTAGTTAGTGTAGTTGGTGTAGTTACTGTAGTTGGTGTAGTATATGTATGTTGGTGTAGTATATGTAGTTGGTGTAGTATGTGTAGTTGGTGTACTATATGTAGTTGGTGTAGTATGTGTAGTTGGTGTAGTTAGTGTAGTTGGTGTAGTTACTGTAGTTGGTGTAGTATGTGTAGTTGGTGTAGTTACTGTATTTGGTGTAGTACGTGTAATTGGTGTAGTATATGTAGTTGGTGTAGTATGTGTAGTTGGTGTAGTATATGTAGTTGGTGTAGTATGTGTAGCTGGTGTAGTTACTGTAGTTGGTGTAGTTAGTGTAGTTGCTTTAGTATGTGTAGTTGGTGTAGTTGGCATAGTTGGTGTAGTATGTGTAGTTGGGCTAGTTTGTGTAGTTGGTGTAGTATGTGTAGTTGGTGTAGTATATGTAGTTGGCGTAGTTTGTGTAGTTGGTGTACTATGTGTAGTTGGTGTAGTATGTGTAGTTGGCAGAGTTGGTGTAGTTAGTGTAGTTGGTGTAGTATATGTAGTTAATGTAATATGTGTAGTTGGTGTAGTATATGTAGTAGGTTTAGTATGTGTAGTTGGTGTAGATAGTGTAGTTGGGGTAGTTAGTGTAGTTGGGGTAGTTAGTGTAGTTGGTGTAGTTAGTGTAGTTGGTGTAGTTTGTGTAGTTGGTGTAGTTAGTGTAGTTGGTGTAGTATATGTAGTCGGTGTAGTATGTGTAGTTGGTGTAGTTAGTGTAGTTGGTATAGTATATGTAGTTGGCGTAGTTAGTGTAGTTGGTGTAGTATATGTAGTTGGTGTAGTATGTGTAGTTGGGCTAGTTTGTGTAGTTGGTGTAGTTAGTGTAGTTGATGTAGTATGTGTAGTTGGTGTAGTTAGTGTAGTTGGTGTAGTATATGTAGTTGGTGTAGTTACTATAGTTGGTGTAGTATGTGTAGTTGCTGTAGTTTGCGTAGTTGGTGTAGTTTGCGTAGTTGGTGTAGTTAGTGTAGCTGGTGTAGTATATGTAGTCGGTGTAGTATGTGTAGTTGGTGTAATATATGTAGTTGCTGTAGTATGTGTAGTTGGTGTAGTTGGTGTAGTTAGTGTAGTTGGTGTAGTATATGTAGTTGGTGTAGTATGTGTAGTTGGTGTAGTTTGTGTAGTTGGTGTAGTATAGGTAGTTGGTGTAGTATGTGTAGTATGTGTAGTATGTGTAGTTGGTGTAGTTTGTGTAGTTGGTGTAGTTACTGTAGTTACTGTAGTTGGTGTGGTTGCTGTAGTTGGTGTAGTATGTGTAGTTGGTGTAGTTAGTGTAGTTTGTATAGTTACTGTAGCTGGTGTAGTATATGTAGTTAGTGTAGTTGGTGTAGTATATGTAGTTGAGTTAGTTGGTGTAGTTAGTGTAGTTGGTGTATTTGGTGTAGTTAGTGTAGTTTGCGTAGTTCACCATTCAAACAAATATTTTGTTTTTGAGCATTACGGAAAAGGAGATTCATACACATATACATATATGAATACATTTTCTAAGTCATTCGTATCTTGACTTCGACCGCTTCTCGGGTTTCTGAAAAGGTTAAAATCGCATCCGATACTGATGTTGCTATCAGTGCGATAATATGGCGGGAACACAAGTTGACATTTCGAAGCCGGCCGCCACAGAGTAAGATCATGTGATTTAAGTTCCAAGACCTATCACAACAATAGGTGAAAATACAAGAAAAGGACTTACAGTGAGGTTCTTGGAATTAACAACCTTCTCCTATCATTGCCGTCAGACAGTTGCTAATTTCAGATAGTTAAAACCTGTACCGTACACATACACAGATACGCTTAAGTTCTATTTTTTAAATGTGAGCATATGCATTTGTAAAGACTGGTTGCCTTTAATATATCGTTTACTAGTTTTGTTCTTGGAAAAAGGATTTATTACAGTATCCCTCTAATTATATACGGATATCTAGGAAAGAACAAGAAAACACTTTTGGAAAAAAATGCAATGTAAAATCAGTGTATGATAGTTACATGTATGTATTTTCCTTTGAAATGGAAAATCAAAAACCAATATAGTCATAAAAATAAAACACGAATCAGTTAAAAATAGCTTGTGGTGTGAAACGTTTTTCGTCATTTTTTGCAAAAAGGGAAAATTACTTTTGAGGTCGCTACTTTTGGGGATCGTCAATTTCCGGCAGTGGGGGTTTGCTAACACCTGTGAAATCTTAACGAAACTTTCTGGGGGTTGCTTCTTTGGGAGGCTCGTTACTTTCCGAAACTTTAATAATAATATACCAATAAGGTGTTTATTGCTTCGATCATCTACCCAACACAATGCAAAAGAAATCTACCAATAATTTTACCGGTTGAAAGATTTATAAGAAGGTTAATCAACTATGATAATATTCGAAATAAGCGAGTTAACGAAGCAACATTATTTCATTAAACTAGAAATACGTGTATCGCAGAACCTCGCGAAGCTCGGGGGGGAGCCTATAAGGGGTGGAAGGACAGGAGAGAAATGAAGTAAATCATGTAACTGGGGAGGGCGGATCTAATATTGGAAGCTGAGATGTACTTAATCTCCTGTGGATTAAATTTGAACCCAGTGCTCTGGCTTTAAAAAGGATCTTCTGAGATTTAAATGAGGTTGCTGCTGTTAGCGAATGCTGCATAGGTCCAATCCCCCCATGTTCACTCCATTTGACCCCCCTAAATATGTGTAATTATGGTCAAAAGGAAATGGGGGTGATAGTGGATAACTGCCGCCTAGTATTCAGTTGCATTTGCTTAATAAAAGCTCACCCTTAAGTGCAATAATTATTTGTGAAATGTTTCAGTAAAAGTGAGTGGATGGCAATTCTAGAAGATAACGCTGCAGTGAAAACAACAACTAAATGTTGCTAATTGGAGAAAAAATTTATTGTTCGGCGAACTACAGCTATAAAAGTGTTTGCACTTTTTGGTACATAATCATACTTGACAACTATTGTTTGTGACAGTAAAGTGCAAACATAATCACTGAAATAGAAAATTACAAGTAGCAATGTCATTAAGGATGCAGTTCATGAGAATTACTAAAGCGATCATGATTTATGATTATTGTATGTGTGGGCATTCACCTTAAAGAACTGAATCCATGTAAAAAGTACCAATTTTTTACCAGTTAGGCAAGTGTTCATAGTTATTCGTGTACATGCATAAGAAACAAATCCCTATGCAAGAGTGAATTTGTATGAAATGTCCACAAACAAGTTATGTTGAAGGTCATCAGTTTCTCCATTGGTCTCAATTCTAAACATGCATGAGCTTGTTGAGACAGTGCCAGAGCCATAGATTTTTAATTTCCCAGACTGAGACGAGGCAAATGAACACTTTCTCTGTATTACACACATTTCTGGTGAATGTAAAGCTAAGTACAGGATGGATTGATCTTATGGAAAACCCTACATAAATATCTGCTTGCATGTCGTTTAATTTCTTGAAACAATCTTCATCTGCCAATGGAACAAATGTTTTATTTCTGTGAATATGTCACCCCTGTCTGACTTCTTTGAAAGAGTGAAATTTTATGAGTGACCTGTTAAATTTTCCCTAACAGCGAAAGGAATTAACGTTCCTGGCATGGCAACCATGTCACACACTAATATTCTGAGGATATCCGAAATACTATGTTATTTTCGAATAATATAGGAACAAAAATACAGGGGGCCAGCAATAACAAATTTTTGACATGTTTGACTTAAAAGACACAGCTGGGTGTATGTATAAGACTGCTATACATACATTTATTTTACTTGTGAAGGAAATTGAATGAAAATTGTAAGCTTAAACGAAAAAATTTTGCCCAGTAAGGATTTTGTTTACAAAATGTAACGCTTCCCTACATGTAACGCATTATCGGTGTTGTCAACTGTTCATTGTAAAATAAAGCTTACTGTAAAACGGTGAAAAGGCTGATCGGCTGTCCTCAGTCCGTTGCAAAGATACTCCTCGTGTCGATTTTACAGATGGTGTAATTCTTGCTTCCTATCGTTGCATCGAAGAAGATAATTTTGACTGTAAACTTGCCTCTCCTTGCGAATTCTATTGACCGAATACTGAAACGTCGGCAGTCGGTGTTCCCTCTCTTCGTCGGCTTCTTTTGCAGTGTAACTGTAGTATTTTGTTGCTAACTCTTTACATATTCGTGGTCGCTGTATAACCTCTGTCTCTAGTTGACAGTGTTTGCCTTCGATGTGCCGTTACTCGCGCTGAATTTAAGGTCGACGTCATCGCTCTTGCGGACTTTTGTTTGTAAATCTTTCCCAGGGAGGATTTCCAGCCACTTGTTGAATCCACCGTTGTTGAGTTTGCTGTTCTGTTTTATTTACCTGAGATATTGGGTGACTCACCGAGCGTAAACATTGTTATAATTTTGTCGTCGATGGCAATCGGTTGCCTGGAAACCCATAGTGCATTTTGATGTCACTACTGGATGACGTCAAGGCGGACACTAACCAAACTCGATAGATTTATAGCCAAGAGGAAATCACGCTGGCCTTGCGATGCTTGAGTGATACACGCGCGCTTCGCGCGCGACGAGATTATAAACCTCGCTTCGCGAGGAACAAACAACGACAACAACAACAACATAAACATAAAAAAATCTGTGTTAACCAGGCAAGCGCGCAAGCGCCCAAGAAACACCGAACAGTTTTTTTGGTGTTCACGTAAGTTACGATTAACGTATTTTTGGTTAATATCTGTTAGAATAAAAACTTGTATAACTACAAAAACTACAGCGAATACGACAAACTACACCGAACTACACAGACTACACCAGAATACAGCAACTACACCGAACTACACCAACCACATCAACTACAACATGCCAACTACAGCAACTACCCCAAACTACAACAACTACACCAACTACACGAACTACAGTAACTACAGCAACTACACCGACTACATCACCTACACTAACAACACCAACTACAGCAACTACACATACTACAGCAACTACAGTAACTACACATATTACAGCAACTACACGAAGTACAAAAACTTCACAAACTAGACTAACTACACCAACTACACTAACTACAGCAACTACACCAACTACAGCAACTAAATGTACTACACCAACTACACTAACTACAGCAACTACATGTACTACACCAACTACACTAACTGCAGCAACTACACCAACTACACCAACTACATAAACTAAACAACCTACACAAACTACACCAACTACAAATACTACACCAACTACAATAACTACAGCAACTGCACCAACTACACCAACTACACCAACTACATCTACTACACCAACTACACTAACTACACCAACCAAACTAACTACAGCAACTACACCAACTACATATACTATAGCAACTACACAAACTACAACAACAACATGTACTACACAAGCTACATAAACCAACCAACTACACTAACTACACCAATTACACATACTACACCAACTACATATAGTACACGAACTACAGTAACTACACCAACTACACATACTACGCCAACTACAGATACTACACCAACTACACCAACCACATATCCTACACCAACTACACTAACTACACCAATTATATATACTACACCAACTACACATACTATACCAACCACACTAACTACACTAACTACACATACTACACCAACTACACTAACTACACCAACTACACATACTACACCAACTACACTAACTACACCAACTACATATACTACACCAACTATATATACTACACCAACTACACCAGCTACAGCAACTACTCTAACTGCACTAACTACACCAAACATCAACTTTCTCATAGGGGGCAAAGTGGTCATGGAATGTCCCTATATTCGTGACGGTTATCATGAACCCATTACCGGAAATTGTAAACCAGGATCTTCCAATTTTGACTAAACAAGCCATATATTAAGTGTCAAACTGTTTCCGTTGATGTGCGGTTATCGTTCTGTCAATCTTATACGGGATATCAGATCTTATATAGATCATGAGACCTCCACCATGTATATTTCTATCAGCCCTGAGATTTTTCTAAAACGAAAGCCATCGACATGAAACTCATGTTTAGGAAATGTCTGGTCTAGCTTTGTTTCTGTGATTGCTAATATATCGCAAAAAACCCGACTGTAACCAATGCCGTATCATAGGATTTGTGTCCCGAGATACTGTTGGTATTGATATGACCAATCTTGCAATTCTTTACGCATTCCCTAGCGATTGTTGTAAAGTCAGTGTTACTTAAACATGAATCAGCGCCATTGTGTAACGCTAAGATCTTAGTCCGTAAGTGGTGGTGTTCACTTTCGATACAATAACTGCGCAACTGCGCAACTGCGCAACTGCGCAACTGCGCAACTGCGCAATCTAATCTCATGCATGACCAAGCTTAAACTGCACCTAACAGCAATCCTTCCTCACCTGACGTATTGCCAAACTGTATGGTATTTTTGTGAGCAGTCCGAGAGACGAAAGCTGGAGAGACTGCAAGAACGCACTTTAAGACATTAAGAGCAATTTACAACTGTAGGACAGACACTTACGAAGATCTTTTACGCCGTGCAAACTTGCCTTCTCTCTACAATAGGAGGACGCTTCAAGAGATTGTAATTTCAATGTACAAAGTTAGAAAAGGTTTGACCCCTGACTACATAGGTGAACTTTTCAATCTTGCAAACAAAGGGTACTCCCTAAGAAATGCAGATTTTGATATACCTCGCTACTCAACAATAAGATATGGAAAACACAAAATAAGCTACCTGGGCCCATACCTTTCGTCCTGACTATCCTCAAGTGATCGACAGCGACCCTCGCTGGACAATTTTAAACGGAACATAAGAAAGAAAGACTTTCACGTGCACGTGCGCCAATTGTAACTTTTGTATCACTTAACCACGTTTGTAATGGAATTTTATCACTTCTTAACTAATTAATTTTAAATCGTGAATATTTTAATATCAGTTCTTCTTGAAACTAAGCGAAATTAAATTTATCTTGAATAGATTTTTATTATGAACATTCTTTGTTTTTAAAATGATTATCAATTTTAAAATAGATTTTTATCACTTGTAGCATCCCTGTTTTAATTAATCAATTAATTTTTTTTATTTTGTATTTGGAATGTTCTTTTAGTGTCCCCAATTGGCTAATACATACTGCAAATACTCTGGCACTTAAATAAAGTTCATTCGTTCATTCATTCAAGAATGTCAGTACCTCTGAGGTTATAGATGAAGTTAGCAGGGTCTGATAAGTAGAGCTCTGATCACGCCAAATAAAGCAAGGGAATCGGTCGTTTAATTTCTCAAGTTTTTCGATTGATCGCTTACTACGAAAATGCAAAGTCTTTGCGCAGAAATTAAAATGTGGTAAAACGCCTCATGAAGTCTCTTGCAGGTTTTTAAAGAAAACAACCTCTTCATTCTATTCAAGACAATACCGTTACTTGCTGACAAATTTTCGGCAGATTTTGGTAATGCCGGACTCAAGCTTTAACTTTTTACCCACAGTCACTCTGAGTAAGTCAATTTCGTTTTCTATTGATTTTTCTAAAACCATCGCCTTGTATTTCTCGTGATTTCGTCTCATTTCATTTTTCCTCGTACCATTTGTCTATCCGGACCAGGATTTGTGTTACATTGGCCACTTCAACTTTCGAACCGTATCTCCTGCATAGAAAATTTGCGTCTAGTCAGCAAAGGTTAACAGAATTGTGTACTTAATTGCGCAATACAGATCATTTACAAAAATATTGAATAATAGCGGCGGGTCCCAGGTTTGCTGGTTTTCAGTGTTACGCCATTCAAAATAGATCAAAATAAAAATCAAAACCGTTCAATAGATGAAGTCCAGAATCTGGGAAGTGAAGGGAGGTACATATACAAGGACCCTCGCCAAGATTCAGGTGGAGGAATATTTCGTATACGAGATATCCGAAGAAACGTTTTACACAAACTTACAGAGATTTGTATGGAGACGCCATGCTGGTGCTCACCTGGATGAGCTCCAACATGGCGGACGGAAACCAACAGAAACATCTGTTACCGAGCTTTGCTACAAAAGCGTGAATTTATTCTTCGAGAAACTCATTAACATTAAATTAATACTTTTTCTAATACATGAACTGTTTAGATAGCAAAATTTCCTGAAATCAGTCATTTTTTTTAACCTACATGACAGCTCTCTTGGCCGTCACGTAAATGCCGCGTCACGCAAAAGCTTCGAAATTCAAGCATACTCCCTCAAAACCAAGAACCCTTTTGAAGCAAAAATTTTTATGAAAATTAGTTTTCAGCTGCTCTAATCGAGAAAGTAAAATCTCGGTAGGATCGATAGTTTTTCACTTTGAATTTTAGTGACGTCATGTAAAAACCAACAATTGATCGCTGGGGAATTCCTTACAGATTGACTGCCAAGAGAAAAAAGGCGTTTCCGAGTTTTACGCGTTGTTGACGACCCGAAGGTAATCTTAAATCAAGTCAATTATTTTCTCATCAGCTCCGTATGATTGTCCAGTTCTTTTCTCCATTGCTCCGGCAAACTGTAATCCATTCCTCGCTAGAGCCCCTGCTAGAAAGACAGCGAAGTTTTGGGTATGAACAATAAACCTCGTTGATACCTCGATCCTTCGGCAATGCTCTTCCTCTGAAATGTTTCTAAACATTTGAACCGTATCAGTGCTAATGATCGAAATATTTCAATGTAGCGTACATACACGACCTGCGTACAGAACTGATAATAATAATTATAATAATTTATTGCGTATTAGGCGCAAATTAACATATGAATATGCATGATCAAATGCGCCTTCCATTTAAATCTAACCTATCTGTGTACAAAACATACTAGTAATAGTTGACACTACAGCTGCCCCCGCTCTGTATATAGTATTCTTGCTCCTTGTGTAGCTCTTTAAAATATACCGATTCATAATGAAGATGTTCACACATATTCAAAAACAATAGGTGAGATAAATACAGGAAATAAACGAAAGGTTCCATGCACAGTTTCGGTTTGATTTACACAGCTTTGATCAAAACATTCTCAGTTTCGAGAATAGTTTATTCTAAACCATGAGAAAAGATTTAATTAGCAGTTTAACTTTTTGCTATTTCTATTTCACTTTTTACATTTAGTTTATTTTATTTGCCGGATAGTAAGCCTTAGAAATTAAAAGGACGTTTGATCAATTCACACTCGCGCATTATAGTCTTATTTTAAACTTTATAGCGGAAGCACATCTGTGAGCAGGGAATAAGTCAGCACAGACTTTGATGGTCGGCGAATTTCTGTAATCCTCCATAGTTCTGCTAGTGATAAGCTAGCTGTTGAATCATTCACTCGTCTTGCTTGTTTTGGGCCGAGTCTTCCAAGAAAGAGTGTCTGGCAAGGTTCAGCTGAAGGTTTTGAATCAAAGATTTGTGAACTCGGGTCTGGCAAACTCACTTAGTGTTAAAAGATACACTGTTCTACGCACCTTATAACTTCACCTGCACTTAACGAGTGTCTTTTGGTCCATAACTATCATAACAACTGCTCCACGGAATGTCACTGATAACACGTAACGCAAAAGAGTTTTGAAGTATGACTGCACAATTAATGTCACAAAATCTACCTATCTTAAGCTTTTTGTGTTTTACGTCATCCTAACCATTTCGTACTTGCCGGCGCAAACAATAGAAACGTCATCATTACCTACCGATTCCTCGCGGCCCCTGTTCAAGCAAATCGAGATTTTTCCTATATTGACTGTATGACTGTATACTTCAACTGTAAGTACTTTCCTTAACATACGCGCGAGTTACTAGAGTGCCTCCTCGGGATTTCGCGTTCTGGGCGAAACCCCTGCGAGGGCAAAAACATACAGGCAAAGTTACATAGCATAGTTCTAAATTAAATGAAAGCCTAAAAACTGTTACATATCAGAATGATATAAAAATTACATTCAAAAATTGTTATATAACATATTATACAATTAAGAACTCAAATCTAACACTAAAATACAAGAGAAGCTCTCGGTGTTACGAGCAAATTCTTTCTTAACAGATACGTCTTAATTGCTCCTTTTAAAGATCGTGACCTCTAAACTGGCGCTTTTGCAGAAGTGGGAAATTACTCTTCACAGCTATTTCAAAGTACGACTCGCGCCACCATTTCAATAATTGTGACAAAGGAAGACCGTCAACATTATTCATTCAAAGTTATTTTGAAAACCGCACAAATGTGTGCGGTTGCTTTGTTTCAACCGGCAAAAATTAATATTCAAGCATCATGACAAAGGCGTGCTTTCAATCAGTCACCCTGGTAAGTATAAATTTCCAGCTGTTTGACTGAACAGACCGGACAAAAATATAAATATTGCTCAAATGGGGCCTTAAAATGCTGTTAAAAAATGAAATTGTAATCCAAGATTTCGTCGATCATCGCTGGTCATTTTCTCAGGTTTTTGCTGGTGTAACAAATATGATGATCGGAAAAAGTCTTTAAAAAAGAATTCCATGTTTATGAGGGATGATTCTAGCGCCACTCATTGCCAATATAAACTCATGCCCACCTCATGTAAGAACAAGAAGAAAGGCAGATGAGAGCAAGACCTGCAAACGGCACACATAGAAGAAGAGGGGCACATTGCAGCTGACAAGAAAGACAGCCTAGCCATTGAAAGAAAGCTGAAAACAAGAATTGGTCCTTTTAATCCCGATGCTTAAAGGTGACGTTGGTGTACTGGGAAGTCATTCCTACGAGTTAGTCATTACTGGCCAAGATGAAGTCGTGACTGTAGAGAATTCCCCAGGATTTAAGATGATTAGAGAGCCGACCTCAAGACAAACCACAAGGCAGACGCAATCTTCACAGCACAAGCAATATAATTAGCACAGGAAGAGAAGAACAATGCTATGACACAGATATGTCTATGCTCTGCTGCAGCTGTACTATTACCTTGATAGAGGGCTAAACATCCCCATGGTGATGAAGTCACCTAAGACAGGCA